AGTGAAATGCCTCTGAACAGGTTTCAGCTCTGGGAGATCAATCCCACCACCACTTACGAGCATGGGATCTTTGGGAGGTTCTAAACCCTCTCAGAACTCCACATGCCTCCTGTCCGTGATGAGGGTCATCATGTCTCCCAGGCATGTGTTAAAAGGACTGGAGACAAGAGATGTAACCCTGTGTTAGCTCATCCCCTGCAATGCATTAGCCCATGGCTCTGGAACCACAATGAGCAGCATGCATCTTACTGCAACCCATAGAGGAAAGCGAGCCTGGGCCTGACATCACACACTACATGGTAGGTGACCACAAACCGCCCCACTCAGTGTTTCTGGTCCTCCCCAAGTCTTTCCCACTCATGCTGACAGCAGAGTCCTCTGCAGGGCATCTTTCTACCAGGGCTCAGCCCCGCTTCCCCTCCCGCCTTCCAACTTTCTCATCTTTCCACATGAATCTAGTCCAAGCTTGTTTCCATCCCACACTGGCTTTTATGCAAAACCAGTCTAATTTTCTCCTTATAAGGGAATTATCAGGCCTGCTGCTAAACAGTCTCCAAATGCTATGCAGAAGCCCCTGGCACACAGTAGGTACTCCATAAATGAGACCTTCGTCTCCTTCCTCCTTGACACCTTTGGATGTGGAGTCAAGGAGGCATGGGCATCAGAAGTAATGTAGCAAGATACGAAATGCTGCTGGGGTTAGCGTCATCATTTGGGGAGCCAGAAGCCAGCTCCCCAGAGCTACAAGTATGTCTGTCCAGAGGCATCAAGGCAGCAGAGAAAATACCGGGACTGTGTCCTGTCCTGGCTCTGTCACTCACCATCTGGTTGACTTTAGGACACTGTGTTTACAACCCAGGACAACAATTTTCTGAGCTGAAATTGATGAGCCTTTAGGGACAAGAATCAATGACACCAATTCATAGCAATGTTGTGAGGCTTAAAAGTAGTGGTAGGTGGAAACAGGTTGGCTTCATTGCTTCACATACTCTATTAAGAACTGGAATGCCAAATTTAATGGTTAAAGCCATCAAAGCGAGATCTAAGTTTGACACCTGGTTCTGCTATTTATGAATCACACAACTTTGGATAAATGACCTTACCTCTCTGGGCCTTAGTGTCCTTATGAATCAAATGGTGGTGGGGAGGAGGGGTCAGAGGTGGGCATGCATAATGAACATAAAATTGTTACTCTCTCTATGAATGTTGTCCGGATTGAATGAGATAAAGGACAGACATAAAGATGAAACACAGAGCCTCTGACTTTGGGGCAGAATGGTTTCAGTTTAACACACCCAGCTAGCGGGCTGCCATATTTGTACTTTACCAACCTAATACGGCATTTCAGGCTGTAAGCTTGTTCTAAACTTCAGGAATTTGGTCAATGAGTCTCTCTCTCTCAATTAATTCTAAATTTTCCTCTATTTTTATAAACTAATAAGAGTTCATTTTAGAAAATTTGGCAGGAAAACCTGAAATCATCCATTATTCTCTAACTCAACAGTTTATTCAACTAATGTTTATCAATTGTCTTCCATGAGTCCAGCTTTATGCACTGTAGCAATACCCAAGGCAGATGGGTCCCTGCTCTCTGGAGCATCCAGCCTTTTTCCTGCTGAACCCCTGGGACAGAAGTGGCCTCAGGAAAAGCCCTGTGGTCACGTGGGCCGCCATCCATCCCAGAGCCCTCTGCCATCCTTTCTCCCCACACGAGCTTGGCCCTGGGGAACTTTTTGGAATTTTCCCAGCCTGTGGGGTAAAAGCAGACTGACTCTGAATAAAAAAAAAAAAAAATGACTTATTTCTGGTTGAAGTTGAATCTTATATGAAGTTCCAAAAGGCTTTCTTAAATGCTGTTTATTTATCTAAAAAAGTAACTTACTATGAGTATTTCCCTGAAAATAAAGAATCCAGGCACCCTGTTCCTATTTGTGACCTGCCAACAGCATCAAATGATTTTGCAAATCTATAAATAACACTTGGAGATTGATTCTAAGAACCAATTAGCTTGGGGAAACATTGGAATTGAACTTCTTGGAAACACTGAGTATATAAATGCTGATACGGAAGTTTGATTTTGTGATTATAACAGAGTTAATTTCTGTTTGTTATATGAATCTGAGAAGTCTGGAGCCCATCAAAATTATTTGCCTTAACCAAAATTATTAATATTGGGACTCCTGGGTAGCTGTCGGCTAAGCCTCTGACTCTTGATTTCAGTTCAGGTCATGAGCTCAGGGTCGTGGGATCGAGCCCCATGTCAGGCTCTGCACTGAGTGCCTGAGTCTGCTTGAGATTCTCTCCCCCTCTCCTTCTGCCCCTCCCCCTGATTGTATGCACTCTCTTTCTCTCTCTCTCTCAAATAAATAAATAAAATCTTTAAAATTTTTTTAAATAAAAAATAAAATTATTAATATTATATAGAACTATAAATACTTTCTTCTGAGGTAAAAAAAAAAAAAGTTTCCACAAATGTAGGGAAAGAGAGATTTTTCTATAGCCATGGTAACAAGTAGCCATAGGAGCAGATTTTAAGTTTGTTCAATCACTCAATGACACCTTGCCTCAGTGAACCTGCTTTTATAACCAGTGAGCACCAACCCCTTGCTTCAGTCCAACAGGGACAAACTCATGCCAGAAAACAACGTCTGTGAGAACAAGCAGCCAACAACAGTCAAGCTCAGGGACTACCTTTCTATAAGCAATATCAACCTGCTTAGGCTGCTACTAATCTACCAAGCCCTACACTCAGTGCTTCCCCTGGATGAAGTCAGCAGTCTGCTCTGCCCAACCGGCATGGCTGTCCCTAACTACTACTGTAAGCAATAAATTCAGCTTTGTCTTTTTATTTCAGGTAATGAGTGATGGTCTCATCATCGTATGAATTTTCTGTGTCTCGTGTTTAGATACTGGGAGGATCAATTCATTCATTTATTCATTGAACCTCTCGCTAGTGTTTGTTTATCTGCCTGTCCCTATGCTTGGTGCTGGGGACTCAGAGAAAATAGGACACAATCCCTTTCCTAGAGGACCTCTGAGGCCAGGAAACACAAGGCTAGAATACGGTATCATCATCAGAGTACTGGAAGAACCGTCCAAGGGTTACAGAAACCCAGAGGAGGAAGTAACAAGCTCCAGTGGGGAGAGGAAAACAAAGAAGTATATCAAGATGGTGTTTCAGTTGAGTTTTCAATAATGCGTATGAGTTCTCCAGACAAAGAAAAGGGAGAGTGTAGTCCAGGTGCAAGGAACAGAATGGGCAAAACCCTGGAGACCTGGGAGAGCACACCAGCCCCAGAGACAATGAGGAGGAGAGCAGATATCAGCATTTCTGGAAAGGCTGGATGAGAGGGAAGGATCCCCCATGCTATAACTATCTGGGAGATTGGTCTAACCTCATTCAACTCAGTCTTCTCCTTGATAGTATAGAATTAATAACATTATACCTACCTCTCAGGATCACTGTGAGGATTAAATAAGATGAGGTGTGTCAATATAAATGTTTGGTCCACGTTACGCATCCAGGCAAAAATACATACAATTTTTATTGGACTCTGTCCTGAAGACTTCTGGGCACAAGGGAATGAATTGATTACATAATTACATTTGTGCTTTAGAAAGAGCTCTCAGAGGCATTGTGGGGAAGCTGACAAAAAGTATGAACAGTTTCCTTTTGAAAACTTCAGGAAATAATAATAACAATAATCATAGCAACCAAGCCGTTACTGGGTGCTTACTGAGTACCAGGCACTCTCCCTCTGTTAACAGGTATTACATTGTGTTGATGAGCTCATCACAACAACCCTACAGAGTAGGTGCTATTATTATCCCCATTCAAGGGGTTTATCCCTTGTGAGCAAAATGGAGCGATCTAAGGGAAATAAGGTTTTGGGTTTTATGCCCTGAGTCTGCAGCTACACCCAGATCAACACCTGTGCAAGAACTTGAGATTGGAGATAGTCTGCATTTTGGTAGATCTGAGCCAATGAAGGCTTCATTTACTCATCTGCTTATTGGACACACACTCAATGAGCATCTACACCTTGCCCGGCACGTCGGCGGATGCTGTTCCGGCCCTTACAGAGCTTCTACAGTAACCTATAACCTGCAGAGCCCTAGCTAGCTGCCAGGTCGTGTTCTAAGCACTTCACACTTAACAGCTCATTTAATACTCCCAAAGAAGCGATGGGGGAGATAGATATCATCATGCCCATTTTACAGAGAGGAAAACAGAGGCTTGGGGAGATTAAGGAGTCTCACAAAATCACATGGTAAAGAGCAAAACCGGAACGTGAACCCATGGGGTGCAGCTCCAGCGACTGTACCCTTACCAAGAGCTACACCATTTTGTGGGCTAGGGCTGCACTCCTCAGAGTGCGGTCTGAAGTCCCCAGCCATCCGTGCCACCTGCCGTGGCCTGTGGCTTCATGGTGCACACCGTTGAGACCAGTGGACATGTTCTCCCCAGCAAGACCTTCTCAGTGAAGGAGGTACTGTGATTGACATTCTGGTACCAACTCCTCCTGTGGTCAGGGACCAGCACTATGAATGGAAGAGGATGAAAGAGACTTTATACAAGTGATCTCACCATATCTTTGCTATTGTCATTAGGATCAGCTATTAGGAGGGAAAAGGACTGGTAGCTGGGAGAGAGCACAACAGTGTAGCAGGAATCCCTATCTTCCTTGTAGCAGGCTAAGCAGGGTAGTGGAAGCATCCCGGAGATGTGGGGGATGGGAAGAATCTGGGGGATAGGGTGATGGAAGCATGGGATGGAGGAGTAACGTGGAGAGCACTGCAGGCAGAAGAGAGAGCACCTGTGAATGTAAGTGAGCAAGACCCTGGCATGTTTGGGAACCAGAGGAAACATACATAAGGAAAAGCTCTCCTGGGAAGCATCCAAGTAAATTCTGCCATGAGCAACTCACGCTAGATGAGAATGAAAACACTTAAGGAAAGCCAGACGTGTTTGCTAGCTGTGCAGAACCTTCTGGAATACCATGGTGTTCCTCAGTGCTCTGGAGATCTCCAAAAGGTGAGTGTTGAGTTTGCCATGACCCTGGCCAGAGCCAATTGGGAGCCAAACCGGACGGCTGGGCCCAAGGCACTGCTACCGCTTTGCTTCTGTTTCACTGTGGGCTCCGTCACTCCCTGAACCTGGTCGGGTCTGGGGCCTCCATTGTCTGAGCACTGTGGCTCTGCAGAGTTTCCAGAAAACCCTGGAGCACAGGAATTAAGTCCACTGGCCAGGGGTTGAGAGAAGGAAGCGGGGAGGGAGGCAAGGACTGAACATAGACATGCTATGTCCCATGCACTTTGCACACGTTCTCAGCAACTTTGGTGCCCATGCAACCCTGTGTGGAGGCAACAATGAAGCCCCTCATTACTGAGAAATGAAATGAGACTCAGCTAGCCCCAGACTCACCCACAGTGATGCAGTAGTCAGCTCAGACGCTCACTAGACAAGCCTGTGCCTCCATTGAAGAGCTCATGCTCAGACCCCAGAGCATCCTGCCCCTATTAGAAAGCCCGAACCTAATTCCGTCACTACCTACTTAAAACACTGGGATGAGAGGGAAGAATGATGTAGGAAATTAAAAAGAAATACAGGGCATAAGTGAGAGAGGAAACTACTTGAACTTGGGGTCGAAAGTACTGTTTTCTGTTCCCGGCTCTGCCTCTTACCAGGTCTACCACCTAGGACTTGTCTCCTCACTTCTCCGGGCCTCGGTTTACCTATCTATAAAATGGGAAGGGTGTTGCAATCATGTCCTGTGGTGCTCATCATCCTCATCTGTAAAATGGGGATAACCAAGGCTCCCGCTTCACAGGGTTGTTTGGGGATTGAAGAAAATCATGGGTGTGGAGCACCTAGAAGAGTGCCTGGCCCACAATTATGGCCATCAATACCTATGATCGTTACTACAAGTTAGGCGAGGGTTTGAGACATAGTGGGCGCTCCATAAATACTTACGTGGTCGCAATTTGGCAAAGAAGAAAAGAAAGGTGGGGCAGGATGAGGAGGCTTGGAAGAGAGAGAGAGGGGAGCTTAGCTGCCCCCACTCCAAGCGAGGAGGCACGGTGGCAAGGCCCAGAGGAAAGAGGCCCTGCGACCTCCCCACCTCCCTCCTCCACCTGACCCCCACCTTTAGTGGCTGTATTTGACTTTCTGAGGCTCTCTTTGCCCCTGGGAGACATCACAATGACATTTCCAGCGGGGATAGGGCTTTTTTCAGAAGCTCAATGATTTTGATGAAGTAATGGGACAAAAATCCTTTGGCAGTAATTTGCCAAGTGCATCTTGCTGTAAGTGTTCTTGAGAAAGAACAGTGTTCCAGGAGCCGCGAGAGGCACTAGGCATTGGTGCAGCCGGCCACAAAAATGACGAACCGTCCTAATCAGTCACTCCCCCCTCCTCTATCGTCCCCTCCCCCGCCCCCCTCCCCGCTGCACCATCCTGATCTCCCTGGGCCATACATCACCAGTTCTCACCTCCCAGGCACTTAGGGGCAGTCTTTGCGATCACACAGAGGGCTCAGTATCAAGGCTCCACCCCTGAGTCACTGTGTGAACTCCGGTGAGGACTTTCACCCCTCTCGACCTCCATTTCCGCATCTGTAAAATGGGAATAAAATCCCTTCAGGTGATGGAAGGGAATGGGACCTCTTAATGTGAATCCAAATCCTGCTCAGGGAAGGGAGGATAGCTCTGTAGCCCATCTGTTTGCAGCATTCCAGCTCAGGAGATCTTCTTTATATGCAACACTCCGCGTGTGTGCGTATGTGTGTATATGTGTGGGGGTGTGAGCATTTTTCCAGGGAAGAGCCTCGTAGCTGGAATCGGATGCCCCAAAAGGCTCATGACCCCCCAGATGCTAAGGCCCGCTGTGGTTTGTGTGTGGTCTGGGACTGCTTGCTTGGGCGGTTGCCTTGACCACTCGGGTATAATAGCTATCCATGTGTTGTTTCAATCTCAGGACAAATGACGTTACCCCCTGGTGCCTCAATTTCCTCTTCTGTGAAATAAGGGAAACAAGAAACAACGCATGTGCAGAGCTCGGTGTGGTCCCTGGCACATGGCACATGGTTGGTCTCGGTGACCCTGAGTTCCTCTGCAAGAGTTCTCCTCTTAGCTCACCAAACTGACCCTTCTGGGGCTGGAACTCAGGGAGAGAAGAAGGCAGTGGGAACTATTCCACTGCCTCAGGCACTTTAGCCGTTGTCTCAGCCTTTAGATCCCTGTCGCCAGCCCGAACCTAGTTAACTCCTAGTTAACTCCTGAATGCATTCTACCTTCGATGGGAGTGAAGGGCCGCTAGAGGCAGAACCAGGTTTTGACCACCTCTTTTACAAGTCATGCAGAGTGGTCTTGCACCTCACTTCGGAACACGACATCTCTTGTTTTGAGGCTTTGGCAGAGTAGGAGGCTAGAGTGTGTTCATTTTAAAAGCAAATTACAAATAATAATAAATAAAAGCTAGCTACATAAAATACCACAAGAATTTGCTACTGAGATGGGGCGGGGGCAGGAGGTAGAATCAGGGAGGGTTTTCTGGAGAAGGTGATACTAGAGATGGATTTTGAAGACTATTATGAAGTTACCAAATTGAGGATGGAAGAAAGGCCTTTGTGGATGGCAGAAACCTCACGTGTGAAGACCCGGAGGCGAGAGGAGAGCCGGGTGTATTTGGGCGGAGTGCAGTAGAGTAGGGAGGGACTCGGGCAGCCTAACTGATTCAAAGTTAGCTCTCTCCACTTACTAGTTGGATGACCTTGGGTAAGTAATTCAGTGGGGGCCTCTCAAATGGGCTGCCTGTTCCTGAGGCCAGTGGCTCTCCAGCTTTAGAAAGGGTAACAATCCCATGAGAGCATTTTAGAAACCCAGATCCTCAGGCCTCCCCAGCAGAAACTGACTCAGGGGGCCGGGGATGGGCCCCAAGATTCTGCTGCAGGAGGCCTATTGGTCACACTTTGCAGACCTCACGTGTCTCACATCACGGACAGGGCCTGGCACACAGCCAATGCTCAGTGAGCAGTAAATGAAGGAATCCGATTAATCAATTCAATACAGCTTTGCCTGGCCAGAATGCTTCTGGAAGGAACTCGTGGCTGCCTAATATATCTCTACCCATTTCACGCCACAGAGGTGGCGCCCGCCTCACAGAGGGTTCTACATGGAGGCCAAGGGCTCAGAGGCATCCACCCAATTTGGGGACATCAGTCAGACCTCCCCAAGGACAAGTGCTGTGGTTATTTTAAGTCTCTCTATGTTGTCATTGTGGAGATGAGAGGGAGCTGGGAACCTCAGAGAGACAACTACTGGGAACTCGTGCAGAAAGCAATACGGTATGAGGACCTTAGACCAAGCTGGGCAAAGCGCACAGGGCTTTGGAGTCAGACTTCCCTGGATTTTAGTCCCGGCAAGTCACCTCACCCATGGAAGTACTACCACCCGCCTTGAGGACTGCTGTGTGAATTCAACGAGAGGCGAGAGGCGGGGTTACAACTGTTCAGAAAGGTGCAGCCAGCAGAGGGAGAGGCGGAGGGATGCGTAAATGCCCCATTCCCCGTGAAATAAAACAGATCCCCCAAATGAGAACAAACACGGCCTATTTATTCAGGACTCAGCCACCATCACTTGAGTTTGGCAGAGACTCAAAGGCAGGCAGGGAAGTGGGAAAGATTTGCCTTGGGGAGAAAGGGAAGGTTTCCGGCAGCCTCTGATCACAGGCTGTCCGTGGGAGCTGGAAGTGGGCTCGCTAGAAGCAGGGGAGCTCGTGTGGTAGGTGTGGGGAGCCTCTTTGGCTTTCTCTCGCTGGTCCCCAGTGGGGAGTGGGGGCGGAAAACAGGGACGCTGGCAGTCATTGATCAGCGCTGACCCTTCTGGGAAGATGTGCACAGGTGGGTTGGCTTGGCTTCTTGGACTGGCTCCTGCAGAGGTTGGGCCACCATGCCATCATCGTCTGTGGTCCGGCCACTGGTCGTCTGTGTATTCAGACTCTCACTGAGCACTTACAGTGCACTCATTCAGCAGGTGTTTCTCCAGGGCCTTCTCCAGGTCCTAGGCATTCGGGACACAGCTGGGAGCAGGGCAGAGCAGACCTCCTGTGCTCCCGGGGCTGCGCACGCGGTGCCACCCTCTTTGTGTCCGTGTGCTACTTAGTCCTTTGTGGCATGGCTGCTGGCACTGTGAGTCCTATTTATTCAAATTTCACAGTTCTTGAGATTCTGAGCATCCTTCCCGTGGTCACAGGCCCTATTTGTGTCCCAAGGAGCAGGCGTTCTCCTCCTTACTTAGCATCACTCCTTCCAGGGATGCCCGGGTTCCCACTGCGACGCCTGTCACGCCGTGCACACCCTTACAGCTCTGTTGTCCCTGCTGTCACGTGCCTTGTCCGCCCTGGTGCTGGGGCTCTGGGCAGGGACCGTCACGGCGGCCACAGACACGCGAAGCCTGTTTGGTTCCTGCAGGCCCGTGGAGGCCCTTGGTGCCCCCACCAACACTGAGTGGACACCCCAGACGGAAAGGGCCTGTGCACTCAGTCTTTTTTTTTTATGAAGAATTATGCTCCTTCCCTCCCGGAAGCCGAGCGCCTCAACTGCTTACTTCACTCAGCTAAGCCCCAAACATGCTTTCCCTCTCCCTTATCACTTTCCTATCCCCATCCTTTGTGTCCCCCTGCCTTCCTCCAGGTCTTCTTAGGAATAGTAGTAGTGGCTCGCTAGAAGCAGGGGAGCTTTCCCTCTCCCTTATCACTTTCCTATCCCCATCCTTTGTGTCCCCCTGCCTTCCTCCAGGTCTTCTTAGGAATAGTAGTAGTGGGGCGCCTGGGTGGCTCAGTCGTTAAGCATCTGTCTTCGGCTCAGGTCATGATCCCCGGGTCCTGGGATCGAGTCCCATGTCGGGCTCCCTGCTCAGCGGGGAGTCTGCTTCTCCCTCTGCCTGCCACTCCCCCCGCTCTTGCTTTCTCTCTCTGACAAATAAATAAATAAAATATTAAAAAAAAAAAACAAAAGGGAATAGCAGTAGTGATAG